TGTGGGCACCTGCATTCACATACACATATCCCTGTGCACACTCATACACACACACACACACACACACACACACACACACACACACACACACACATTTAAAAAATTATCAAAATTAATGTAAAGTACCCCATGAAGAGCACAAATCTAAAACAGGAGAGGGATGAAGCTGTGTCACAGAGGTGGATACCCGATGTGGTCTGATTATCTCCCAGCTTGTGGGACCTGACATTGCTGGGGGTAAGACAGCGTTATAGGGAACCATGTGGGACATGTTTGTCTTAGGAAAGAGGGGCGATGCCAGAGCAAGGGGAGGGATGCTGTTGGGGCACCTTTCCGCTAGGCTTTGCTTCAGTGTAATGACGGTCTCCATAGCTGCTCACCGTTGAACACATTATGCAGCAGGCATGTTTGCTGTGGTTGACACTGATTGAGTCAGCTCATAGTCACATTTTATATGTTCTTATTTTGCATTTTGTGTGTGCGTGTGTATGCTTGTATGTGTGCACATGTGTTTGTGCAGGCCAGAGATCATGTCAGGTGTCTTTCTTAGATGCTGTCTGCCTTATTTTTTGAGAAAGGAGCTTTCACTGAAGCTGGGGCACAGTGATTGGGTTAGAATGACTGACCAGCAGCCCTAGGGATCCTCCTGCCCCTGCTTTCCCAGGACTGGGATTACAGGTGCACCCCTGTACCCAGGTTCTGGCTGGCCTGAACTCCACATAAGCCAGGTTAGCTTTGGCTCACAGTGATCCACCTGCGTCTGCCTTCTAAGTGCTGGAATTAAAGGCATGTGCCACTTTGCCCAGCTGCACCTGGCTTTTTACGTGAGCTCTGAACTCGTCTTCCTCTTGCTCATCAAGCACTTTATTCTCTGTGCCTGTGGAAGATATGACTTCTTGGCATTGCCAGTGAAAGCCAAGGCCTATTAGAAACTGCCCAAAGCTGGTTGGTTCTGTTAGGCAGCTGCAAACAAGGCCCCCAGACAGCTCGCTTTGGGACCCCTTCCTGGTTCTCTTCTTGTGGCAGCTGGCTTCAGTGCTCGGAGAAGTGGAAGCCTGGTATGCTTCTGGAACTTACCCCAGGTTTCAGAGCAGATCAGTATAGATTTCCAAATTAAATTATGGCCATTGCTTGCATTAAACGGCAGGTGAGTTGCACTTTAAATAGACCACATTAATTCTGAAGTGGAGCCCTGCTGGGATAATCCTTATCATCAGTGGCATCCCTGACAGGCTTGAAAAAGATCCTTATAGTAAGCAATTTGCAAACTCTAAAGGTGAAAAAACTCTAAAGTGCTACTGGCGATCAAGGTCAGAGGGAGGTCACGGCAGTTTCTGAGAAGACAGGATGGGAATGAGAGTCACTTGCTGGTCAAGGGCAATGTGCTCCCCAGAGTCCCCTGTTCTGGTGTCAGAATGTAACTTTTCTTGAACATGAACAAATGTCTTTTCACAGCAGATGGGCACTGACAACAGGCCAAGAATGACTCCACCTAAGTCTAGTTTGATGACCTGTGAGTTTATTGGTTACTTAGAGAGGCATGGCTGACTCAGGACAGCATGGGTAATGACTCCACCAAGCTGCGTGCCGGGACTTTCTGTCCAACATGCTGGATCTCTACCCAAGAGTCTCCTCTCCCCAACCTTCGCTGCCTTATAACTTTGGATGGGGCCTTGGGAATCCTGAAACTTTCAGGAACTTCCTAAGCTTCATAGTTTCAGAGCCTCCCTCCCTCTGGAAAGGATGGCTTAGTTCCCAGGAAATAGCAGAGGCAGAGAAGGGGCCGCAGCTTCTTCTGTGTGGCTGTACAATCTGGTGAGTTTGCCATGTGAGGGCCAAGGGTGAACTGGGCTTTTTCATTCATCCTGGGAAGTTTAGTCTGAAAAATGAAGCCAGTGATATGGTTCAGCTGTAAGGTCCTGTCACCTCGCCTGACAACCTGAGGTCAGCCTCTGGGACCCAGGTGGTGGAAAGAGAGCTGACTCCTGCAAGTCGTCCTCTGACCTTTGCCCATGTCTTATGATGGACACACATGTTACATGAAATAAGTAACAAAGTTGAAAGACCTGGGAGGGTGGCTGGGTCCCCAGATACCAACACATTCATACATACACAGCTGCTGCTGACCCAGAAAGGGAGAGAGAGGCCACACAGTACCTCTTCTTAGCCATGGGTGTTGGTCATCTTGTGTCAGGCTGCCATTGTTGGGCGGTCGTCTTGGGCTTTGTGCTCAACACTCTACCCTTTTCTCCAGTTAGCCTGTAATCCCAGGCCACCTATTCTGTACTCATGGGAGAAGAATCTGAGATTTTGCATGGCTCTGTGGCCACATAACTGGAATGCTCTTGTCACCTGTTTGTCCTGTGTGCTGGACTAAATGCTCCTTAGAGATGAGGCTCACTAGAACGACAGTTAGCCTGGATCAGTTGAACTGGAGTAGTAGAGGAGTTTCTTAATCTGGGCTTAGTTTTTGGACCTGTGCATCTTTCCTTCTTCTGGAAGGAAACCTCAATGTCTAATGTTCTGAGAGGGTCTGCGAACCTGTTTGGCTCTACTCCGTGTAGAAATCAAGCAGCTGTGAACATGCTCATTTTTTTTTGTAGATGTAATTCTGAACGGTTTTATGAAATAAGAAACAGAGCCAAATGCAGAGTTAAAAGCCCAGGAGGTCAGAGCAGCAGCCAAGAGCTGAGACCAAGACCGCCTCCTTACCCCTCGCTGCCGCTGTCGTCCTTCCTCTCAGAAGGAGCAAACATGCTCATTTTTGACGGCGGCCGAGGCAAACGTGATCTCAGTGGCTCGTGTTTGGCACTGCACTTGTGCCCACCTCTGCAGCTTATTAACATTTGCATCAACTAGGTTGAACGACATGGCCTTGGTTTGAGTGAGGTCAGTTATGAAATGTCTGGCAGTGGCTGGTGCACAGTTAATACTCAAGAGCCCAGCTGTCATTGCAGTATTGACAATAGCGTGACGAAGTGTCGATGAGCCCATGTTGTAAAGAAAAGTGATCACAAGATGAGGTACACACTAGAATTTCCACTCCCAAATAATTTGTACATGTGGATAAGAAAGGTAGACTTGAAGAGATGTCAGTAAGAATGACTGTCTGTGGCTTAACAAACCTCATTTAGCCTTCCAGTCACCCTCAATTTGTTCCTGTCCGTATATCAAGTAGTTCACCATTTGGGAAGCTCTTCTGAGGATCTAAAAACAAGGGCGATTATTCATGATCAAGGATGTTCTTTGTTGTGTGAGGGGAAGCAGCAGTGGAGTGTATTCTTTGTAATCAAGATAGAGCTAAATTATCTCCCAGCAGGAAGCCGCCAAAAATCACGGTCAGCGTTCAGAAGACTGGGTGAATAAGTAACAACACAATTGTTCTGAGACCTTTTGAATCTGGAAAATGTTCATGATTTAGAAGAAACTGAATCAAGATATGGAATTATGCCTTGTAAATATGTACAGTATTAATGTCAACCATCTCTTTAAAAGTTAGCCTATAAATACTGTTGTATAGTTTCTTTGGTCAGAAACATTTGGACTAAGTCATGTCATCTGGGTCAGGATTTTCTTCAGTACCATTTAGCAAACCAACTGTCTTTAGTCTATGCAAGTAGCAAAGAATTTACAGAATGCAGCTTCACTGTTAAATTTCACCAAGGGCTCCGTATTACTCTTCTGGAACCCAGACCAGCAAGAATAGAGAGGAAAAGAACTAAGGTGATTCAGTTCTCTTAAATTAGTTGAATCTACTAAAGGTAATGTCTACCGTCTCAGCCCTCTGCCGTCGGCAGTGCTGAGACTGCTGTGTGTGCTTATTTGTGGAGCAGCTGAATGAAATCGGGCAGCTGAAGGCTCCAGCTCCTTGTGCCTCCTAAGTAAAACAAAACAAAACAAAACAAAACCCCAAACCAACCAACCAAACAAAAACAAAGTAAGTTGTTATAAATTGACTTTCAGAAAAGTAGAAACTGCCCTGTGTAAAGAAATGGCGCTTCCCACCCCAAGCACATGTCATCCAGATCTTTGTCAGTCACGTTGTATGAAGCAGAAAAGGAAGAATTGCTTTGCATGGTCTCACTTGAGATGGTCTCATTCGAACTGGTGCAAGAATCTTGACTTTCTATTTTACATTTGGAAACATCAAATAAATGTTTTTTTATGGAAACATAAAAAAGATACAGAATTATATGTATATATGCATACAATAATACACTATATAATGCACTCTTTTGTAGTTGTTGAGGTGGGATCTTGCTATGTTGCCCAGGCTAGCTTTGAACACTTTGGCTCAAGCCACACTCTTGCCTCAGCTTCCTGACTAGGCAGCACTGCAGGTACATGACGCTGTGTCTGGCTTAAAGAGATTTATTTTCGTAGTCCTGGAGCTGCAACTCCAAGGTCAACCTCACTGGCTAACACGTCAGGAGGACAGTGGCAGGCTGGTCCTGTGGATACTGCAGGGTATTGGATACTGCCAATCTCACTTCTCCCAGCTTCTGCTGGCTGCCGGCTGCCGGCATTCTTTGGAAGCGGCCACATCATTCTGATCTTTGCTTCCCTAGTCACATGGCCTACTTTCCTGTGGGTCAGTTTCTCTGTCTTCTTATGAAGACACTTATTAATATGTTGTGTCCACGGGAATTGACAGAATCAGAGTTGATAACACACCTTGGCTGCTTCAGGCTGCATTCACAGGTTCCAGAGACTAGGGTGTAGTTATGTCGGGGACATAATTTAGCTGCCACAAATGTTGATTTTTGTATAGAAAAAGGTGCAAGAAAAAAAGACTTGCACAAAGGTTTTGAAAATGTTTAACTAGGAATGGTGGTCTCAGGGTGGGAGGGTCTGAGGTCTGTCTACTTTTGTTATTGCTTTGTTGTACCTCATCTGTGCTAAGGTAGTAATGCCATTTACCCCCCATGAGGTTGCCTAGTGATCATTGCTGTGCAGATGGGGGTGTGCAGGCACAGTGACAGACACTGCTCTCTCCGCAGAGCCCGTGTTCTGGTTCTACGTGAAGGAGGTCCTCAACAAGCACGAGCTGCAGCGCTTCCACTCCCTGCATCACATCACTGCAGACGTGGGCCGAGGCCGGGCCTGGCTGCGCTGCGCCCTCAACGAGCACTCCCTCGAGCGCTACCTGCACATGCTCCTGGCTGACCGCGCCAGGCTCAGGTACCCAGAAGGACGGCCCTGGACACGGTGGAAGAACCTGGAGACAGACCTTTTATCCTAGTCCCCCGTCAAAGGAGAGGGGACTTCCTCACCACAGCCCTGCTAGCCACTCCCTTGGTGGGAGAACCAGTGCCACAGTGCTTAGGAGGGGCTCTGTGTGGCACCCACATAGCCAGCACTCCATCAGTGATGGCTGGATCAGGGCGTAGCTATTGTCTCAGGACGCCGACTGCCCTCACTCCATGGAGTTTTAATTTGGGATTCTTCAGTGTTTTCAATCCCAAACTGACCAAAGATATGGAAGCTTTGTTTGTTCTTTTGTTTATTTTGAGACAAGGTCTCACACGTAGTCTAGGTTGGCCTAGAACTCATGTGTAGCCAGGCTGGCCTGTTTCTCTACTGCTGGGACTACGCCTGCTCAGAATGAGAGACATTCAGGAAGGAAGTGTTTTGTTTTTATTAAAAGCTTCATTTTCACATTTTTTTTCGTGATTATAAAGTTTACTCAGGTAGTGTAGGTCAGGCTGGGTTGTTGAGGCAACACTTGAGAAGCCGCTTGGTCTGAGCTGGTCACTTCATGCTCTCTTCTGAGGCCCAGGCTGCCTGGCGCAGGGGAAAAGGGATTGCTGTTGAAGGAAGCACTGGATGGCTAGGCTCCTGACCCCAGAGGTGTCTCCACTCCTGACTCACTGGCAGGGAGGGTCCCATAGCCACACCCACAGTTCAGCAGCCGGGGGAGATATGGCTAGCCCTCAACAATGGGAAGAGGTCACTAAACAGAGCCAAAGTTGGTGTAGCCAACCAGCTCCTTGGTAACTGCTGCAGAAACCACTGGCTTAAAAACTAAATCACTCATAACACACACAGAGATAATCCTCACTTGGTGGGATTTCCCTTGTCACAGTGTCTTTTGCTCTAGCTTTAGCAGTTAGTTTTCCTGTAAGGATAGTAGACTAGATACAGTTTATGTCATCTGATGACCGAAGGGCCTTGGTCAGTCCTCTCTGGCACCTTGAGTAACTTGCATGTTAGCAGGATCTAGATGTGACACTCAGATTTCATTAATGCAGTGAGCCGGCTTCTCACCAGCACTCTGACAGTCCCTTGATTTCAGTTTTGCCAGTTGTTTGCAGGCGCAGGTCTCCCTTTGGGCGTCTGCAGTCTTGTTCCCGCACCCATCCCTTCTCTCTGCTTTACTCTTTTCTTTACTGGAAATCAGACTCAGGTACTGGTGCATGCTAGACAGATGCACCACCCATGCTGCCCCACTGGCCTGCAATGTTTCTTCTACTGGTGGTTCTGTGGGTACTCTGGGATTGCTCTTAAAAACACTCTTGGGTCAGCGAGGTGGCTTTCAGTGGGTAAAAGCTCTTGCTGAGCACACAGGCATGGAACCCCAAGTCCAGCTCCCAGATTCCATGAGTCCTATGGTGGAAGGAGAGAGAACTGACCCCTGAAAATTGTTGATGGACCTCTACCAGTGTGCCTGGAATTCACACACAGCCTGCATACACATATGCACACAAAAATAAAAATAAAACACACACAAAAAAGATAATTAAAAGTCAGTAACAATAATCCATGTAAGAAGAGTTAATACAGTGGTACATGTCCCAATGATAAGGAGGCAGAGGCAGGCAGATCCCTGGGGAGTCACTGGCCAGCCAGCCTAGCCTACTTGATCTCTAGGATAGTGAAAGACCCTGTCTCAAAAAAGGTGATGGATCCTGAGAAATTACACTGGAGGTTGTTCTCTGGCCTCCATATGCAAGCACATTCGTGGACACACACACACACACACACACACACACACACACACACACCACTCCAGATTCATTTACATGTATGAAAGCTAGTTCCGATTTGCACATGATCCCAATTTGTTGTGGAATTGGGTGCAGTCAAAAGGCTAGCTTGACTTGTGGTTTGTCAACGTCCCTTTGTGCCCCCCCCAGTGTTGTAGTCAGTCACAACAGCAACTAGTTTTTCCCATCTCTTGCTGAACTGCAGGCCACTCAGCACTGAATTGATGTTATTGAAACTGCACTTAGAATGCACCGAGGACTTTGGTGGTTTATTGCTTAACAGAATCATATAAAGTGCTTGGAAATTGGACTTGGGAGACCTCCTTTTAAGCCCTGCTGTGCCATTGATTGGCTAGATTGCCTTGCCTACCCCTGACCTTCCTAGCTGCTACTGAAATTCACAGGGGCCTTTTACACTCTTAGTCCTTTCCATGGCCAACTTGGAGTTTGGGTTTGTAGCCCAGCAGTTTTTATAAGTGGATGCCCTGGTTGATGGAGCCCTGTAGCTCTATAATTGCTTCTGATCATTTCTTCTTGTCTTAGCCAACTGGGTGAGCCCTGTTGGTGAGCTTGGACTTTCTGTCGCTAGAGTACCTTGTTGAGTGGAATCCATCCCTCTGTTCTCTTCAACTTTGCTTCTTTATAAATATATTTGCATATGTCTATTTAGGTCCTCTAAAGCTCAGGGTCTCAGGGGACCAAGAAGGAAGTTGTAGGATCTGCACATTCAGACCTTTGTTTCTAGTGAAAAGTTTCAAAGTGGAGAGGGACAAAATTCCCTCTGGGCGACCCACCAGGCTTGGTGTTTCCAGGGAGCCATCAGTGGCGTCATTGGCCAGTGTATGAATGCCAAGAACTACTTTTCTTTAAGAGTTTCCCTCTTCTCTTTGCTTTTGCAGCACATTCTATGAAGACTGGTCTTTTGTGATGGATGAAGAAAGGTCCAGCATGCTCCCTACCATGGCAGCTGGTAAGCCTGGTGGAGGCGGGGTGATGAACCGAGATGCTTGGTGAACAGAGAGGTTCTGGGAGTGGGTTTATTGCCCAAGGGGATGCTGTGATGTTCTGGGTCCTCCTGCTTTGAAGCATCACTGTTATTTGTTTAAGCTGGGGCTGTTTATCTAGAATTTGAAGCACGAGGTTGAAGGATTTGGCTTGTGGCCTGCCAGGTGAACTGTAAAGAACTGGGGATTGACTGGCAGACTGCCTTGACCCCTGGTTCTGCATGTCAGTTGAATCCTATCAGCTCCGTTACCTCCTCTCTCCTCTTTGGTGAGGTGAGAATGCTCTTAGATGTTCAGTCACCTTTTCAGGGCTTTAAGAGAGCCATAGAAAAGAAAAGGCCATGTATGTGGCTTATCAGCATGAAGCAAGGCCCTGGATTGATGTATTGTGGCTTGAGAAATCCTTTGCTGTTTGTCCCTTCAAGGGTGATAAATGTGATAGCTTGTCTTTCTTCCAAATTCTTTATTGTTCTGTTTACATTGTTTTTCTTCTAAAACCTGACATTAAGTCAACATACTGAGGGTCATGTTAGTTTCATCTAGGGACAGGAAAGTCAGGCTTTGGCTGTGGTTTTCTTTATAGGCCATAGGATGCCAGTGTCAGTCTTGGATAAAGCGACTGTAATGTGTTCTTGGTGCACCCTGAGCTCTCTGAGGTTTCGGTGGGTGAGATCTTTAGTGCTCACGATCCTGAGAGGGTCACTGCTGTGGCCATTGTGCAAGTGAAAAAACTAGAGCTCAGGGAGGTTGCAAGTTGCTTGACCAAGGCTATTCTGAGGCTCAGCTCAGGCAGCCTCTCTCCAGAACTTCTGCCACTGTCTTCTCCTGGGTGGTTCTTGTTTCCATTTGTCTTCCTGACATTCAGGGATGGAAGGTGGAAAGACCGTTGACGTGAGCGTCTGTCTGCCATTGCCAGGTGCTGAAGATGAGGTCTGTCCCCTTGTGTCCCTTACTCTTGTTGCTGATGTTGGAGGTGTGAATGCATGGCAGCATGCACTGCAACCCTGCCCCTTTTTTCTGCAGGTCTGAACTCCATACTCTTTGCAATTAACATTGACAACAAGGATTTGAATGGGCAGAGCAAATTTGCCCCCACTGTCTCCGACCTCTTAAAGGAGTCTACACAGAATGTGACGTCTTTGCTGAAGGAATCCACGCAGGGCATGAGCAGCCTCCTCAGGGAGATCACAGCATCCTCTGCTGTCTCTATTCTCATCAAGCCGGAGCAGGAGACTGACCCTCTGCCTGTCATATCCAAGAACGTCCATGTTGGTGAGCCAGAAGGGGCCCTCGAGGTGGCGCAGTAGGGCCAGTGAAAAGGAAAGGAGAGTGGGGCTGAGAGGAACACACCTTGATGTTGTCACTGTCCTCTGGGGGGCAAAGTATATGGTGTTCCATTTTGTCATCGTTCACTCGGAGGGGGACCCAACAGAAAGGGTAGGAAAGCAAACAGCCAGTCCTGCGGAGCCAGGTGGGTCTTCTTCCACCACTGATTTCTTCTCCTGCTCGTGTTATTGGTGCTCAGCTGTGAGCTGAGACTCGGCTAGCATCCTGCTTAGTCTTCTTGGGGATGGATGGGCAGGGGTGATATTTAAAAACCAATGACACAGGCAACTTACTGTTCCTGTATTAGGAGATGAAAGAGAATGCTTTTGGCCTTGCCTGTATTGGGAGGATGCTATTTAAGTAGTGACCTGAGCAGGCAAGGGGAAATTGGTTCAGTTAAGTTTGCCAGAAGTTGATGATACCCTTAGAGCATTTGGAGTTGTTAGCGAGTTGCTATATAGTAGAAACCAAAATTTCTGGTTAAATACTGATCCCTGTCTTCCCAGATCCCTTAAGGCAGTAGTCATGGCCATCCCTTTGAAAAAAAATTTTAAAAATATTTATCTATTTATTTATTTATTTACTTACTTACTTATTTATTTATTTATTTATTTATTTTGTATGGAAGGTTATACACCCTAGGCACTAGGTACAAGGTGCTCTACTACTCAGCTATATCCCTAGCGTTTCTTACTTCTTGCTTTCGAGACAAGGTCTTATTATATTGTTAGGGGTGGCTGTCAACTGAATCTGTAGCCCATGCTGGTCTTAAACTTGGATCTTTCTGCTTTAGCTCCTGAGCAGTAGGATTATATATAACCTTGATCCACCAGGCTCCATTTTTCGAATTCTATTTTGTCTGTCTATCTATTTCTATCTGTCCATCTGTCTGTGTGTACCTGTGTTTGTGCATTTTGTGTGCACATATATATAAGTGCAAAGGTCAGAGGTCAGTGTGGGACATCTTCATCTATAGCTGTACACCTTGTTTTTATTTTGAGGCAGTCTCTCAGCTGAACCCAGAGGTCACCAGTTGGCTAGACTGGGTGGCCACTGAGCTCCAGGGATCAGCTTGTCTCAGCCCTTCCAGGGCTGGGGTTCCAGGCGAACACCACCAGGCCCAGCTTTCCCCCAGGGCTGGGGTTCCAGGCGAACACCACCAGGCCCAGCTTTCCCCCAGGGCTGGGGTTCCAGGCGAACACCACCAGGCCCAGCTTTCCCCCAGGGCTGGGGTTCCAGGCGGACACCACCAGGCCCAGCTTTCCCCCAGGGCTGGGGTTCCAGGCGGACACCACCAGGCCCAGCTTTCCCCCAGGGCTGGGGTTCCAGGCGAACACCACCAGGCCCAGCTTTCCCCCAGGGCTGGGGTTCCAGGCGGACACCACCAGGCCCAGCTTTCCCCCAGGGCTGGGGTTCCAGGCGAACACCACCAGGCCCAGCTTTCCCCCAGGGCTGGGGTTCCAGGCGAACACCACCAGGCCCAGCTTTCCCCCAGGGCTGGGGTTCCAGGCGGACACCACCAGGCCCAGCTTTCCCCCAGGGCTGGGGTTCCAGGCGGACACCACCAGGCCCAGCTTTCCCCCAGGGCTGGGGTTCCAGGCGAACACCACCAGGCCCAGCTTCCCCCAGGGCTGGGGTTCCAGGCGAACACCACCAGGCCCAGCTTTCCCCCAGGGCTGGGGTTCCAGGCGAACACCACCAGGCCCAGCTTTCCCCCAGGGCTGGGGTTCCAGGCGAACACCACCAGGCCCAGCTTCCCCCAGTCCTCCTGCTTGTGCGGCAGGAACTTCGCCTGCTGAGCCACCTCCGCAGCCCTCCCTTGAAAACTTTTCTTCTTATCCTTTTTTAAAAAAGAATGTTTCATTTATTCTTTGACAGTTTCATACTTGTGTGCGATGTGTTGATATCATGTCTACCTCCCACCTTCCCCTAACATTTCCCCTTCCCACCTTCATGTCCTCTTTATGTATCAAATCTCGAGGAGTCCAGTTGGTGCTGCCCACATGAGTATGGGTGTGGGGCCGTCCATTGGAGGATAGGCAACTTAGCAGCCACAGGCCCCTGAAGGAAATTCACTCCCTTCCCCAATGGCCATCAACGACAGTTGATGTAGCTCCTCAGACAGGGTAAGGCCTCTTGACCCCCTCCTCTGCCATGCCTGAGTGTTGACTGGCTTGGTCTTGTGCAGTGAACACAGCTGTGTGAGTTCAGTAATACGACAGCCTACCGTGTGTGGCAGACATCATTTCATAGCATTTCTCCCTGCCTTCTGGATCCCTTTTCCATGATGTTCTCTGAGCCTTGGTGGAGTGGGGTGGGTTTGATAAAGATCTCACATTTAGGGCTCAGCACTCACGGTTGCTTATTCTCAGCACTTTGACCAGTTATAAGTCTCTGCATTAAATGCTGCCAGTACAAAAGGAAACTTCTCTGACCTTATGGGCATCATTATGGGCATCATTGACTTATAGGTATAAACGTAAATATTTGACCACATGAACTTTAGGAAAAGAACAGTGGTAGGTTCTGCCTCTGGTGCCTCTGTCCTCCCCAGTGTGTGCTGCTCTTCCAGAGGACCTGAGTTTGGCTCCTAGCATCCACGTCTCACAACTGCCTCTAACTCCAGCTCCAAAGGATATGCACATATCGTACACACACACACACACACACACACACACACACACACACACACACACACACACACACACAAACCACCACCACCACCACCAAAAAAAAAAAACTAAAAAGTGCCCAGCAGTAGATGGCCCACATAAAACAAACTCAGTGGTGTTTTTGAAGAATTAATGCTTTGTCTGGGCATTTTTTTTAAAGTCTTACAAGTCTTTTGCTGCTTATATATTATGTTTTCTGATTTTGTGTCTTTATGGGTTTTATGTGTGTGTGAATGTGTGTGTCTGCATCTGTGTGTTTCTTGTGCTTTTTCTGTTTGCTTGTTTTATTCTGGTTTGTTTTTATTTTATTATTAGATACCTGTTTGTTTTCTAGTGAGAGAGAGAGAAAGAAAGGGTGTAGATTTGAGTGGGCGGGGAAGTGGGGAGGATCTGGGAGGATCTGGGGGAAACCATATTCAGAGTATATTGTATGAACAAAACTATTGAAAAATATAACCAGAAAACCCCAACAAAATCTCATTTAGTCTTAGTTTATTCTTGGTGTGATAATAGGCTTTGCTGCCCCGCGGGAGCCTGGCTTGGCCTTCCTTCCGTCTACAGTCGCTGCTCTTCTTTTGCCAGATGCCAGATGTAAAAGGGAGAGGAGGAGGAGGAGGAAGGTAACCAACATTGTCTCTTTTGACGATGATGAGGAGGAACAGAACATTGGGGACACTTTAAAAAAGATGCCTGGGACCGCAGAAAGCTCGGAGGAGAACTCTGACCGCTCCTCCATCAACATCATGTCAACCTTTGAAAGCCCATTTGGGCCAAATTCCAATGGGAGCCAAAGCAGCAATTCATGGAAAATTGATTCTGTATCTTTGAATGGGGAGTTGGGCTACCAGAAGCTTGATGTGAAAAGCATCGATGATGATGTGGATGAAAATGAGGAGGATGTGTACAGGAACCCAGCAGGAAGGAAGCACACGGGCCACTCTGAGTCGCCAGACAAGTAAGTTCCACTTGAGCTCCTGAAGAGGGAGTCATGTCAGCCATTTTCTAGGAAGTGAGTGAATGGAGTGAGTTTTGGGCGGGTGAAATGGCCCAGTGGGTAAAGCCCTTGCTGTGCGACCCTGGCCTGATGACCTGAGTTCTGATCCCCAGCATCCCAGCTGGGTGCAGTGGAGCAGGAACCTGTTATCACTATGCTCCCAGAGGGAGATGTGGGTGGAAGCTTTAAGTTGGGTAGCCTGGCATACATAACAGGGTAGAACAAGAGATCCTGCCGCAAACATGGTAGGACAGGATGGACACATGAACTTGAACTCTGACCTCTACACGTGCACCAAGGCATGTGTCCATACACAGTTGCTCACATGAATGTGGACATACAAACATGCACAGACACAGTATGTATAAAAATAGTGCAATTTTTGTATTTCTTTGGGGGGCATTATTCATTCTTTAGATCTTTATGACCTTGCCCTGCTGAGAATTAAGGAAAACAGTCTACTTAAATGGACTTAATGCAAAATTAGCATCAAAATGTGTACTTTGAAATTTTTGCTTAAACATAAGGCTGTGGCTTTCATGAACTGGGGTTTCCTCTGCCTCTAACTTGCCACTAGCATGGGAAGCTCAGGAGGAAAGTAGAGTTGATCTTCAGAGCCTAAGGGAAGAGATAACTGTCCTGTGTGACAATAAGACTGGACCTAAGAACTGTGACAGGGCTGATGATGTGACTCCATTGGTAGAATGCTTGACTGGCATGCACAGAGTCCTGGGTTTGTGCTCCAGCTCTGCATAAACTGGGAGTGGTGCTGGATATCTATCATCAGAACACCTGTGGGTGGGGCATGGAGGCAAGAGGAACAGATGTTCAAGACCGTCTTGTGAGACCAAGTGAGACTATCTCAAAAGCAGACACTGATAGCAGTGCTGCATCAGCATGCCCGACCCCGGTGTTGTGCTGTTTTAGGTTAGTGAGTATCACTTCGGGTCCGCAGCATGAAAGAATAGGGTTCCATGGAGTTGAGATTTGGCAGAGTGCTTGGCCAAGCTTTTAGGTAGCTGCTTCCCAGAGCTCAGTCTGTCTGCACTTGCTGCCTTAACTGGGTGGGATGTAGATTTAAATCCATGGAGGCTAAGGTACAGCCTCATGGGAAGTGGCCAGTGTTGACCTTGCCTGCAAAGCAACCTGGGCTCTCAGATACTCACTGAGTATCTTTTCTTGGAACAAGTTCTTTTCCCTCCCAGTCTCTGTCACATCTGAGACCTGAGCCAGTGGTAGCATCCACTTGTAGGGGTGTTGCAGAGCCTAGCCACATGATGTCTGAGACCTTTGACACACACGCTGAGTGATGTCCACGGGCCAACTGCTGCCGCTGCTCTTCACAGTTCTGTTTACTCCTGCTTTTACAGTCACACAGGCAGTTAAGACTTGTTCTTTTAAGCTCTAGAGTGCTGATGGGACTGGTCATGGCTGACTTTCCCCTGATAGAATGGCATGAACATGTGTGGAGTGTCTTTCTGTGGGGCTGAAATGCCATAGTGCTCTTAATATCCACAGGATGCCTCCAGTGCTGGCTCCTGATGTTCATGTTTGTGTAATGTCAACTTCTTTTTTATTTCTCTGGAGAGTATGCCTGTTTAAAAAGTTTTGGGGCTGGAGAGAGTACTCAGCAGATAATCATACTTGTTGCTCTTGCAGAGGACCCAAGCTGGATTTCCAGCCCCAACATGGTGAGTCACAGCCATCTGTAAGACTAGTCCCAGGGGATCTGATTCCCTCCTCTGGCCTCCGTAGGTACCAGGCACCATTGTTAATATTCTGATCCTGCCCCTTGGGACCACCCTGTGTCCTGATGTAAAAGTCTCTTTTTAAGGAAAAACTCTGCCCATTTCTCTCTCTTTTCTGTCTTCCGCTTCACTCCCACAAGGTGTGTGTGTGTCTCTCTCTCCCCCTTTTTCTCTCTCTCTCCCCTTTCTCCCCCTTTCTCTCTCTCTCTGCCTCTTTATCTCTCTATTATAATAAACTCTCCACGTGGATGCATTGTCTGGGTTGTGTATCCCTGGCCGCTGCTGCTGCCGCCGCCGCCTAGCCCTGCATGGTGTGCGTCTGCCCAGCCTGCAGCTGCATCTGCCCAGCATGTTTCCCTGCACGTGTGGGATACCCTTGGGGTCCCTCCCCCCTCCCACCCAATAATAATATATCAAAACGATCATGCATGGGATGCACATACACACATGCAGGCAAAACATTTATATATATATAAAATAAAAAAAATCTAAAAATTTAAAAGGTTTTGCTCTTATTCACGTATGTGCATTGACCATCCCACCATGTGGTCATTTGTGATGTTCCCCATGCTACAATGTACCGATGAAGGAAAATTCCACAGAGTTGAGATTTGGCAAAGAGATTGGCCATGCAGGGAGTTGGGGTCACGTGCGCTGCTCCCCAGAGCTTAATATTCTCCATGTTAATACATAGTCCAGTTGTTTTATGTGATGTCACCTTTCCTGGCCCATGAGATGCCCAGGTTAAATCCTTGTTTCTGGAATCTGGGAGAGTACTTGGGCTGAGATCAGTGTTTTTTCGGGCTGACTTAATGACAGGGTTTCCTCTCAAGCATGGGTAGCATCAGCCAGAACCTGACAGGAGCAGAGGAGCCTGAGGAAGCAAGCGGGGAGCTTCCTTCATGCCTGAGAGCTGGAGCTGGGCTGTCTTTTCCTGCCCATGGACAGGGTTCACGCTGGCTCTCCTGCTTCTCAGAAGCACGCCACTGACTTTCCTGGGTGTCAGCTCCAGGACGAAGAGTGTAGGACTTCCCAGCTTTCCCAGACTCACAAAGCAGCACCTCCTCAGAGCCTAAGTGTACCTACTCAGACCTCTCACTGGTTCTGTTTCTCTGCCAAACTCTCACTTGCTAAATGGTTCTGTCACTGTTGAGTATTTTGGTTGTTCAGTTTTGTTGTTATTTTGGGGGCAGCGTATCCGGATGTAGCCCAGGTTGGCCTTTGACACATCATCCGGCCTTGTCCTCTGGAATGCTTTATGTATAAGGCTATTTTCCACTCCCAAACTATTTGTTAGAGTCATTTCTAAGCAGCATCATTCATGTTCACAAGCTGTGGATACTCTTTTTTGTTTGTTTGTTTTGTTTTTTGAGACAGGGTTTCTCTGTGTAGCTTTGGAGCCTTTCCTGGAACTTGCTCTGTAGCCCAGGCTGGCCTCCAACTCACAGAGACCCACCTACCTCTGCCTCCCGAGTGCTGGAATTAAAGGAGTGCGTCACCACTACCCGGCAAGCTGTGGATGTTTTGAGCCCGGGAGCAAAGTCTGTGACCTCTTGTATTAGTCATAGTTCACCCGAGAAACAACTGGTGGTGTGTGTGTGTTTTCCTCGATTACTTACCTTTATTTATGCATGTATGTCAACATCTCTTTGTTTATTTATTTATTTATTTTGAGACAGGGTGTCATGTAGCCCAGGCTGGCCTGGAACTAAGGCTGGCCTGAGTCTCTGCTTCTCAAGTGCTGAGATTCTGATATGCATCACCATGCTTGTCCCCCCTCTTTTTCCTTTCTCTTGATTTGGAGAATTGGCACACGGGATTGTGGGGATGCAGTTAGTCTAAGTCTGCAGGTAGATTGGTAGCAGAAGAGTTGCAGCTCAAGTTCAGAGGCAGTTTGCTGTAGAGTTCCTTTTTGTTTTCTGTTGAGGTTGGGCGTTTCTGCATTGCAGCATCTGCTGTTTGGCTGAGGCCCATGTAGTCCAACATGATAATCTGTTTAACTAAAAATCCACTGATGTAAATGTTAACCTGTAAAAAAAAACCCTCATAGCAACTTCTAGCGTAATGTTTAACCAAATATCTGACAAAGTTTCCCAGCCAAGTCGGCTCATGCAATTAATCATTGAAATTGCCTTTAGTTCTATGAGGGCTTGGGAATGCCACCACGTTCTGTGGCTCTGTAGGTGAGTGCGTGTGACTCAGTGCCTTAGACCCAGTCATTTTTCTTCCTACCTCTGGTGCCATGGAGTGCAGCTTGGAGGGGAGGCAAGCTTGTAAGCCAGGGTAGCTGCTGGCATTGTGATGTGTAAAAGGCACAGAGCAGTGCTGGGTGACCTTGGGAGACTGGGCCTCCATGGACCATGGACAGACTCTCGCTGGTGTCCAGGGGCATCTTGATTGAAGAGTCTACAGAGCTAACTGGGGAGGAGCTGAGCAGTGATGAGCGGCTTATTGAGTAATACTTGACTTTTGATTTAAGCTTGTAGTCACAGGAGAGGTCTAGAGTCTGCACATGGCAGTCATGTTGGGGAGTGTGGCCAGGCCCAGGGGCTCAGGGAGGCTTGCCACTGCTTCTGGCAGAATCTGATGCTTGCTTGTTTTTAGGATGAGGTGGTGGCCCAAATTTGGGCTTTCTGTTTGCTGGTAATTTAACCAATTCTTTGGTGCCTGATCCCTCTTTACCCAGTATCTGTCACAAACATTGGCTTTGCTTTTTATTTTTCTTCAGAATAGGCAATTGCTTTATTATGGAAAAGAGTTTTTCAGTCGTCTTGTATGTGCTGTGATACCAGTAAGGAAGTGAGTTTGGAGGGGCCTTGGGGTAACTCAGAGAGTTACAAGTGTGAACCCATGCCCATCTAGTGACTAAGCACCCTGCTCTTCATACCTCCTAGTAGTCTGCAGCAAGAGCAGGATGAGCAGTGAGCCCCAACTTGTCCACCTAGTGCCTGCAAGGGCCAGGCTGGCTCCATGGACATCCCCCCACCCATTCCAGGCCCAAACATGCACCTGCACAGTCCGGCAGGAAGGCTGTATATGAGGGCTGCTGATGCCCGGGGCAGAAGATGGTCAACAAAATATCTGGACCTGGGTACAGAATCTGCCCTGAGGACATTGTCTCAACTCTGGAAGAGCTGAGCAGCAAGATTCCAAAACACTTGTTCAGAGACCAGAACACCTGGTCTGACCTGAATGTGCACCAGGCGTTAACCTGTGGGGGTGGGAGGGGTGGAGTGTGTGTGGGGGCAGGGTGGGGTGTGGGTGTGGGTGGTTGGGGGTGGGATGGAGTGGGGGTGTTTGTCCTCATGGGCTCAAGAGTGTAGACTCCTAACACTTTTGTTGTTGGAATGGGTTTTGTGTAATTAGTTAATTAGTTAATTAATTAATTAATTATTGTGGTGGAGATAGGCTCTTGGTCAATTTTTGTTTGTTTTTGCAGTCCTAGTGATTGGACTCAGGGTTTTATGTAGCCTGGCACCGGTGTCCTGGCCTTAAATTCCCAGAGATCTTCCTGCTATTTTGCCTTCTAGTGCTGGGGTTAAAGGAGTGTGTCACTGTGCCCGCTTTGAATGAACACAGAGTGATGAATGAGTGTCTGATAGCATGAAGATGAACTTAGAAGTGAATATTGAGTGGGAAAGACATAGAAAGGTTGACATGTACTTTCATTACAACTGTGTAAGCAAGAGGAGTCGTGGGCAGCACAGGAGGTCTGATGCTTGTGTGGTTTTAGGGTGTGGGCATTCTCTGTTGGCTGGAAATTTACCTGTTCCTTTGATGCCTGGTTCCCCTTTGCTCGGTATTGACCATGAACGTTGGCTGCCAAGGACACCCTTTCACCCAGTTGTGCTTGGGATAATGTGGCCAGAGGTGTTTTCTTCCACTTTATTTTTAACATTGTCTAGGTTTTGAAACAAATATTTTGTTTTAATGATAAGCAATATTTTCTGTTATTTTAAAGCCAATCTTAAATGTTTTTACATTTGTGTATGCGCGTGAGTGTGCGTGCGTGTGTGTGTGTGTGTGTGTGTGTGTGTGTGTGTGTGTGTGTGTGTGAGTGAGTGAAACTAATTTGTACAGTCAGTTCTCTCCTTTCATCAGATGGGTCCTGGGGATCAAACTCAGGTCATCAGGCTTGACAGCGAGCACCTTTATCTGCTGAGCCATCTTGCTGGCTGTTTTAAGCCAATCTTATTGCCATATTTTGCGGCTTGTTACTTCAGTAGTCAGCTGAGACAGTGGACCTTTGGGTTTGAAACCACACCCTTTGTGGGTCTGGTTTCACTTTAACTCACACAGGTTGCTGGGAAATGGCAAGAATTGTCTTTGAAACAAGCAGAAAATTCCACATGCCCAGAGAGGTAGGGGAACTGTTGGAGACAGGATTTGTTAATCCTACCAGGCAAGAATAAGACCACTACCACAATTTTTGAGCCAAATTTGAAGCAAGCTTTATTAAATACTGGCCAGGGTGATGGACACTGGCCACGTCCATACCTGGGATTCCCAGAGAATGGCTATGACTTATATTAGTCTAGTCCTTACAAAGGCAAAATCCACAAGGCCATATACTTCCTGCCTTCATCCAGTTGGTGGCAAGCATACATCCTGATATACTTCCTGCCTATGTACCTCCTGCCTAGGTACGATCAAGCACATCCTGTGCAGTTGGAGCAACCAACCTTGGTTACGGAAGTAAAAAACTCGTGATTTGTTATCTTACATGAACAATAACTCTCAGCATTCCAGGAAGTTACTTGTCCTTGGGCGAGTGGGGCTTACAGCTTATAGAGGAATTTTTGTTTTATAGATCTCTTAAGCACAGTAATTTAAACTTAAAACATAACTATATCTCTCACAGACTGGCCAGTACTGCTGCTTTCTCTAAGAATGTGTCCTGACTGCCAGCATGCCACTTCCCTTGGTCACTGTTGTATAAACTGATGACATGAGCACTCCATGGTATGGTTAAGGGGAGGTTAGTATTGTAGACATGAGAGAGAGGACAGTCAGAGGCATCTGGAAAAGTCGGAGCAGAGAGAGAAAGTAGCCTGGAGAAGGCCAGAGCTATCTGTGAGAGACGGGAGAATAGCAAGAGATAGAGAATAGAGAGCAGAGGGAGAGAGGCAGGAGCAGGGGTCAGAATGGCCAGGTTGTAAGGAGGAGGAGGAGCTGAGGGGAGGAGGCAACTAGGGTGCTGGCATGGACTTTGAAGTGCCGATAGGCACTGGAGGTGTATGTTAGCTGGAGAACCATAGGTCCCTTTTTTTGGAGGTAAGAGAAGTGACTCCTTTTGGTAGATGGGCTTCACAAGTTCCTGAGGAATGCTGCTTTTTTGTCTAGCTGCCAGAAGTTCTCCTATAGTCCAGGTTAAGCTGGGCCTAGACTCAATTTTGGACAAGTAAGTTGGCTTGCCCTTTTTGGGAGCAACCTGACAACCACCTGTTGCATCAGAGCCCCAAGAGGATGGTTCTAACAGCCTAGAGGGGCAACCATGTTTACCTAACACTTGGGGGTCAGTGGCAATGACCCTGTGCTAGCCACAGAAGGAAACAATTCATTGGTAAGGACTGTTAGGACTGTTTCCTGGGTTTCCTACCCAATACTCACCCCAGCTAGATTTGGTTATTAGATTTTAAAGGCTTGTAAAGAAACAGTCCACCTAGAAGAGGTGTAACCCAGGTTGGCTTTGAATTCATTCTGGCCCTTTTGCCTCTGCCTCACAAGCTCTGGATTACAGGTGTGAGCCACCATACTTGTGGTCAGGGTCTTTCTCTTGTGGTACTGCAGAGTAAACCTCGAGCTTTGTACATACAAACACTGCACCATGGAACCATGGGGCTGTGAAACAAGGCCTTGTTATGTGGCCCGGACTGGGCAGCTTCCCACCAGGCCTGCTAAGTTACATGATTTGGGACTGGGGAGATAAGAAGATGGCTTATTGGTTAAGAGCATTGGCTGCTCTTCCAGAGGACCAACTTCACGGCTATGTGGGCACAGTAAAGCCACTGAACTGGACTACTTCATGGGTAGAAAGAAAGATTGGAAAAACTCAGAATTGCCATGGTGATCTCTCTGGGCCATAGAGAATAGCAAAAGGCTGGGAAAGCTTTGCCAGTCTTTAAAGAGAAAGGTTAGGAGGGAGCTTGGAAATTGGGATAGGGAGTCTGCGAACCAGGACGTGTGTTCATAGGGAACCAGTTGCCCCATTGCCTGTAGGGACAGAGAAGGGGAGTAGTGATTCTTCCTGAAAACAGAAACCTGCTTCAATAGAGTCTGAGGAATGCTGTTTAGGATCTTTCTGTTTACCTGGTCAGAGTCCAGCCTGAGCTGAGCCCAGACTGTCATTTTAGGGGACCCACTTTGGACCTAACAGCAACCATCTGTAACTCCAGTTCCAGGGGATTTGATGCCTTTTAGCCTCTGTGGATACTGAATGCATGTGGTACATAGACATACACAGGCAAAACATTCATACACATAAATCTTAAAAAATTTAAATGACATAAATAGACTTTTCTTCTTTTCCCCTTTCCTTACTTAATGTAGTAGGTGTGATTTTTGATCCATTGAGCCTCTTTCTATTCTAAGTTAATGTACAGTAGTGATTGTGTGAAGAAGGTCAAGGTCATCTTAGCTGTGCACAGAGTTCTAAGCCAGCTGAGATAGATGAGACCCTGTCTCAAACAAAGAAGTAAAAACCAAAAATCTGCACCTTCCATCCACAACCAAATCGAATCAAAGCAAGAATCCAAGTTGGTAGTATGCTGAGCTACACACAAACTCGGCACAGCAGCCTTGGCCTCCCAGTGCAGGGTCATAGGTGGGCACCTCCACGGTCGGCTACAAGCCCCCAAAGGGTCTTCCTCCTCAGCCTTTCTGCTCCACACTTCTGAGCTGAGCCTCTGCCTTCTTGCAGGATGTTGTGATTGATGTCTGGGGCCTCTTCCAGACTGTAAGTTCCATGAGAGCATCACAACCATTTGCTGGCTCTTTGCCCCTGTGCTGAGCACAGCAAGCTCTGGTAAAAGAGCACATGAGGGGTCTGACCTGGGCTCTGTGGTCCTGACTCCCAGCCCATGGCTTAATTCTGTTTTAGCCTCATCTAGGCCTGGGAACTTGAGGAGGCCCAGGAGATGCTGTGATAAGTCCTGAAGCCCTGTCATGCAGATGCATTCTTTCTCCATAGGCCACTGGATGCGAGCACCTGCCTCCCCCCGGTACCTGGATGGGCCCCGCTGCAGGTGCTCCACGGAGATGCTGATGCCGACACTGACGTCCTCTTCCCTGTCAGTGGAGTGGGCTCCTATGGTGCAGCAGGTGGGTGCTTCCTGTCTTCTCTTCTCCAGTAAGAGCTTTTGCTCCAAGGACCAGATGGTTTTTTTTTTTTTTTTTTTGGTTTTTCGAGACAGGGTTTCTCTGTGTAGCTTTGCGCCTTTCCTGGAACTCGCTTTGGAGACCAGGCTGGCCTCGAACTCACAGAGATCCGCCTGGCTCTGCCTCCCGAGTGCTGGGATTAAAGGCGTGCGCCACCACCGCCCGGCCAGATGGGGTTTTTGAGTTACCTGTACAGGTAGGAATGGAAGCCAGAAGATCTGGGCAGGGACAGCTTGTGGACACTCAGGTAAGATGTGGCTTAGGGGTCTCCTATAGCACTGGAGTGTTTACAGATACTTGGGCTGAGTGCCTCGGGGTGAACTGGTTGGCAAGCTCCTAGGGGGTTCTTATGCCTGCCCCCAACAGTCTGTTGCTAAACTTGGCCATATCAAAGCTAACCACAAATAGTGACCATTATTTCGCACCTTGGGAGATGAGAGATGGCACCTGAACCCTGTGAAGGCCCTACACCTTCGCTCCTCTTTCTCTCTGCTGTGTCTACATTGGCACCACCTATTTGGTGTGGGTTTAGAGATGTACATCTAATCTGAGGGCATTTCTCAGCTTACCTGTAGCCAGTGGCCTTCTAACCCTGCATTCCCACTGGGCAACATCCTGTAGATTCTTTATCCTCACTTTTAGCTTTTGGAGTTGCTTGTTAAGTTGAGGAATGTATTAGCTAGTTTTCTGTTGCTATGAAAAACACCATGAAAAGCAACTTGTGAAGGAAAGAGTTTGTTTTGGCTTCTGGTCCCAGAGGGATAAGAGCCCATCATGGTGGGAGGCATGGCAGCAACCAGAGAAGGAAGCTGAGAACTCCCATCATCCACCATGAGCAACGAGCAGAGAGAACGAACTGGTAATGGTTAAGGCTTTTCATTCTCAAAGCCCGCCCCCAGTGATGTACTTCCTCAGCATGGCTGCACTTCCTCATAACCTCTTCAAATAGCATCACCACCAAGGACCAAGTGTTAAATGCCTGCACCTATGGGTGACATGTCTCATTTGGACCAGTACAAGGAGTGACTGTCACATACTACTGTGATCTGATCTAGTAGACTCCGGAGTCCTCTGGGAAAGCAGCTTTACTCTTGGCAGTCAAGATGCTGTGGTAGTTGACCACATTGTGTAGCCCCAGCCCACTTATAAGGGTCAGATGGCATTTGGAGTTCATGGTATTCTTTGTTCAGCATTTAGCTTCTCTGCTAAGTATATGGTACTAGGCCATGGGAGACCTTCAGGGAAATCCTACCTGGGGTTCTCTGTTTAGGGAGGGGACAGAGGATGTCTTCATTGGTGCAGTACTGAGGATTGAACCCAAGGCCTTACGCATACTAGAACATGCCCTACCACTGAGCTATAGCTTTAGCCTTTTTTATTTATTTATTTTATTTTATTTTTTGAGACAAGGTTTCTCTGTGTGGTCCTGGCTGTCCTGGAACTCACTCTGTAGACCACGCTGATCTCAAATTCATAGATAGCCTTCTGCCTCTGCCTCCCGAGTGCTGGGATTAAAGGCGTGTGCCACCACCACCTGGCATTTTTTTTTATAGATTTATTCTTTATTTTAATTAAATTTATTTATTTATTTATTTGTTTGTTTGTTTGTTTGTTTGTTTTTCGAGACAGGGTTTCTCTGTGTAGCTTTGTGCCTTTCCTGGAACGCCTGGCTCTGCCTCCTGAGTGCTGGGATTAAAGTTGTGCGCCGCCGCCACCGCCGCCACCACCCGGCTTAAATGTTTTTCTTGAGACAGGGTTTCACTATGTAGATCTAGTTGGCCTAGAGCTCACCATGTAGACCGTCTAGCTTCAGACGCTCACAGATATCCCTGCCTTTGCCTCCTGAATGCTGGGATTAAAGGAGTACCTCAGTAGCTTTTAAGATTCTTTGCAGTTTTGTATGTATATGTGTGTGTTTACATGTGGCTATATGCACATGAATGCATATAAGTTCTGTGGGTGTTGTGAACTGAATTCAGGTCCTCTGGAAGAGCAGCAAAGGCTCTTAACTACTAAGCCACCTCTTTAACCCCATATTAAAATCTTTTTAAAATTACATTTACTTGTTTATTTATTGTAAGTGTGAGAGTCTGTGGAGATGTGCCAATGTGTGTGCGTGGAGGTCAGAGGACGGTCGATTCTCTTTCCACCGCATGGGTTCTGGGGATCACACTCGGGGCAGTAGGCCTGGCAGCACATGCCTCTGTCTACTGAGCCATCTGACAGTGTTTTTAATTTTAGACAGGGTTCACTACGGCCACTCACAGTGGCTTTCACGAGCTATTGTCCTGCACACGTGTTACTGGTTGTTTTTGCTTTTTGAGGGGCCCGCCACCCGGCTCCCAAATAAGTGACACACAGGGCTTATTCTTAATTATAGATGCTTGGCTTTAGCTAGGCTTGTTGCTAGCCAGCTTTTCTTAACTTTAAATTATCCCATCTACCTTTTGCCTCTGGGCTTTTTCCTTTCTTCTAAAATCTTACTTTTACTCTTATTCCGTGACTGACTGTGTAGCTGAGAGGCTGGCCCCTGATGTCCTCCTCCATCTCTGGCTACTTCTTTTTCTCTCCCAGATTTCTCCTATATATTTTCTCTGCCTGCTAGCCCCGCCTATCCTTTCTTCTGCCTTGCTATTGGCCATTCAGCTTTTTATTAGACCATCAGGTGCTTTAGACAGGCACAGTGACACAGCTTCACAGAGTTAAACAAATGCAACATAAACAAAAGTAACAAACCTTAAAGTAATATTCTACAACACACAAGCCTCTCAAGTAGCTGAGGTTCCAGCTTGTGCTAGCAGCCAGGGCTCAGGGCTGTCTTTAATTATGTGTGTGAAGGTGAAATGTATAGAATGTGTCCTCTGAATGTTTCCATCTCCCTAGTTTGTCTGTTACTTCTTAAACTTAAATTACCCTGCCTGCCTTTTGCCTTTGGGCTTTTACCTTTCCCTATTTCTGTATACTTTTCTTTACGTCTTACTCTGTGTCTGGCTGGGTGGCTGTTGTGGCTGGCCTTTAGCATCCTCCTCTCCTTGTTCTCTTCTTTGATCTCTCTTCCGCCCCCATTTTTCTCCTTCTCTTTTATTCTCTCTGCCTGCCAACCCCGCTTACTCTTTCTCCTGCCTCCCTACTGGCCGTTCAGCTCTTTGTTAGATCATCAGGTGAGCAGCTTCCTCCAGGCACAGTAACACAGCTACACAGAGTTAAAACAAATGCAATGTAAAAGAATGCAACACATCTTTGTATCATTAAAACAAATGTTCCACAGCATAAATGAATGTAGCATATCTTAAAATAATACTCCACAATATGCCAGTGCATCTGGCCCACCACAGTGCCAGCTGTATGTAGGTATGTGTGCCAGCCACACAGAGGGGCTGATGTGTGGTCAGTCAGGCCACGTCAGTGCTTCATCTGGAATGTGGGCTGGGTGACAATGGCCTTTATTCCAGCCATGCATTTCCTTTCATTATGTGTGGTGTTAGAGCCTTGCCTTTGCTTCATGTGTGGACTCTGTCAGTCATGGCTGAATTTCAACAGTGAGGATGACTGAGCTGAGGTAGCCTCCCACTGAAGGGTCCTTAGAAGACACTGAGCCTTCTAACCAGAAATGTGCCATTGCACATGAGCAGAGTGAGGAATAGTTTAGGTAACACTGGAGAGTCAGGATATTGTGTTTGTCAGCTTCCTGTTACTGTAACAAAATACTTGGGACAATCAATTTATAGAGAAGAAAGGTTTATTTTGCTTCACAAACTCAGAGATTTCATCCCATGTTCAGTTTGCTCTGTTATCTTGGGATAGCATGAAGCAGAGCAACATGGTTGTAAATGAAAGATGGAGGAAGCTGCTCACCTGACAGGAAAAGCAGAGAGCTAGGAAGGGCCTGGGCATCTGATCCTCCAGTGAACCAGGTCCTGCCTCTTAAAGTCCCACTGCACCTCAGTAGCACTGTGAACTGGGGATTAAGCCACAGGCCTTTGCAGGACACCTAACCATAGCAGAGCCGCCTGACTCTGTGGTAGCTGGGGGGTGGGTGTCTCTAAGCTGTCTGCCCAATCAGAAGTGGGGTATAGGGCCAGGACTTTTGAAAGTCCAGGTGGCTGCTGGGCCCAAGAAGGTCTCAGTAGAACTTTTCAGTAGCCAGAAATGTGGAACCAGAATTCAGGACTGAGGTCTCAGCCGAAGGAGAGAGTTTGAGAACTGTCATTTTGAGAGGTAAGAGTCTAGACTAGACTTTGTAGGGCCCGTGGCTCACATACGTGATCCCAGGACTCACGAGGTAGAGGCAGGAGAATTGTTACAAGTTTGAGGCCAACTTGGGCTACATAATGAGTTCCAGACCAGCTCAGGCTATAGAGTGAAATCCTATCTTAAAATTTAATTATGTAAACAATGTAAAATTTAATTATGTTGCATAATTGTTAAAGTGCACATGCTGGCAATTCCAGCAGTTGGAAGGCTGAGGCAGGAAAAGCTTCAGTTAGAGGCCAGCCTTGGTTACGTAAGGAGATCCTGTCTCCAAACAAAGAAGACCAAAAGGGGAAGCGAGGCACAGAGAGGCTGCGCCTTGCTGAATTGAAGTTGAGGAGCAGGGACTCTGTCCTGTAGCCAGCAGGGTCTGTACCCTTTAACCACACCACTAGCTAGCAAGGAGGGGCGTAGTCCCTTGACTTCTGATGCCTTGCAGTCCTGGGATGGAACCCAGGCTTACGGTGCTCTTGGGTTAATGGAAACAGTTGGGGTTGAGTGGAGTGTGCAGTCAAAGGTGGAGAGGGTTTGCCTTCTCTAGGCTGGTTTCCCTTAAGCCTGGCAGAAGCGGAGGCCCAGAGGCTTGCTCTACCTCTGTCACTCCTGTGCCTGACTCAGGATTCCCTTGAGTGCTGCCGTGCAGCCCCAGGCTTGCAGATCTGCACTTTTTCCCCGGAAGGAGGCCTGAGTGGCAGATAATGCATCTGTGACAGTCATTAACGACCTTTGCCTGTTTGCTTTAGAGATTTGTGGACTCACTTTTTGGGAATGCCTTTATTACCAAATGTTTACTGGCTTTTGTAGAAAGCTGCAGACTTTACCAGTGGTGAGACTCTGCTGCCCTCTAGTGCCCACTGTAAGCAGGAGCAATTTGTTTAACCAAAAACCTGATAACTTCTCTTGCTTCAAAGTTAAAAAAAAAAGTCACATGTAGCTACTGGTGCCAAGTCTTAATGATGCCTGAGCGAATGAACTAGGCAGCAGATAACTCCAGTGTGTGAGTGGAAAGAGTTTAAAATCAGCTGATGGAACAGCTGAGCACACGATCAGGAGAAAATGGAGTTGAAAGTCAAGCCTCACTCTCTCTGTGGTTTCTGCACAGATGCCCCTGTGGGAAGTCTGGAGAATGGGACAGGACCCGAGGACCACATACTTCCAGAGTCTGGCCTTCGGTACAGGTCAGTGTCAGGATCGTGGCATGCTGTTTATCTTTGCATTTTATTCTCATTTAAAGACAGGTAGGATTGGAGGCCGAGGCCTGACGTCATGTTTGTGCTCATATGGGTTATAGATGATGATTCACCCAGATAGACTGTCTTGTGATACAGTGTCAGAGCTGGGTGGCAGTTCAGTGATGGAGTGCTTGCACAGTGTACAAAAAGCTCAGGGTTCCATCCCCAGGAGGGGCAGCAACCATCAAGCCTCATTTGCACACGACCCCTTGTCATCTCCACACCTCTGCTGCCATACTGAGTACCCCCTCCTCAGCCTTCCTAGTTAAAGTTTGTTAGCAGTTGATGATGATGTTTATCAGCCCTATGTTATGTGATATTTAGGTTATGGGGAAAGATGTAACAGCTGCCGAGTATTCAGTCCACTGCCCGGCAGCTTGTAAGTGCAGAACGCTTTTCTCTTTCACGTTAACAACAACAGCAGCAAACTAAACCAAACAAAAAACCAAGCAAATAGACAACAATCTAGATGAAAACTAAGTTGCCCAGTGTCACTGTTGCTTACAGAGGGAACCTTGCCACTGAGGTCTCCCATCACCTTCAGCTCTGTTGCTCTTCATGATTTTAATTTGGTGTCTTGAAGTTATCCATCTGTATGCCCAACTTAGCTTCAAGGTGACCCCATACCTTGCTTGGTGTCTTGTTACTCACAACAGACAGGATTCTGAACGTGACACTGTGAGCGTATGGCGTCACTGCTCCTTCCAGGACCCGCTGAGCCTGGTCTCATAGAGGATGGCGTCACTGCTCCTTCCAGGACCCTGACTCCTTTTTTCTGTTGTATTTTTGAACATTTGTCAAATGCAGCAATTGATTGAGGGACGTGAGTCCCAGTCTGTGACTTCTTCCTACTGTTCACAGATAAGCCGGTGCTGTTGTCCATGTTAGTGCTATTGTCCACACTAGAGACTGGTTGTAAATATGTAACCAGTCCAGTTCTCTGCAGTCATTATGCTCTGTACCCTTCTTTGAGCACCAGGTCTGCTTACAGGGGGATGCTGGGACAGGTTGCTGGGAGCCTATTGTCATGAAGTTTCCATAACCATTGATCCATCCATAATCTGGGTCTATGTCTGTCCTCATTTAAAGGCACTCTGTTTAGAACCTACTAGAGACATAGCTCAGTTGTAGGAGAGTGCTTGCCTAGTGTTCAAAAAGCCCTGGGTTCGATTCCCAGCACCACATAAAACTGGGTATGGTGCTTGGGAGGCGAAGGCAGAAGGATCAGAAGTTCAAAGTCATCTTTGGCTACATAGTAAGTTCCAGACTGGGATATGTGAGACTCCATCATAAACAAACATACTGTTGACTAGTTGACATCGGACAGTGATGCTACACATTTGTCTGAGTGAAGCTTACACAACATGCAGGTGTCTTGCACTCGGAACACCGACATGCATCCAGGGACTAGTTTAACTAGGAAAAGCAACAGTACTAATGACAAGAGTGTGGAAACAATAGATCCTGGATGTGTGTTCACAATTGCACAGTTGGAGCAGGAAGGCAGTGTCTGACTTAGCCACAAACAAGCACATTGAGTGACTCTGAGTTTCCCTCATGGATGGCTTGCAAAAGGGTTCTTTGTGTCGGTTTGGAGTTTCCAGTAAACTTCAGACACATCTGCAGTAATGAGGAAACAGCTGCTTTCTGTTTGTCCAGGAGATTCCCAGGGAAACCTTTCACTTGCCAGTGTTGTGAGCACTGAGGTTGTGTTCTAGGCAGAGCATAACTTCCTTCTGTCTGCTTTCTCCCAGTATGGAAGCCAGTTCTCCAGGCCGCGGAAGTCCCCTGAGTAGCCTGTTACCATCGGCCTCAATGCCTGAGTCCATGACAGTTCGTAAGTACTTTCTGAGGCTGGGGCATGTGTGCTGGCGGTGCCTCTCTGCTTATGTCTGTACCGGTGTGGACTTTGCTAGGGGCGTGCAGGTGGTGAGTGTGTACCTGCTGTGGACTTGATCATGGTATCACTGTAGGATCCCTGAACCATGGCCAGCTTGTGGTGCATGGGGTGTGTCTGCTAACGGGTGAAGGGGCCTTCTGTGCCTTATGGTTTCCAAGCTGCCTCCTATGTGCAGCGAGCTGTAGGAAGCTCTTCTCGCTGAGTTTCCCTGTGACTCTGGACAAATTGGTTTTGCTGATGGAATAGTCTAATGATCAGGTGGTGTAAAACTATTTCCAGCTCCACCTCCTGGAAAACGTCTTAAAGACACAGTAATGAAGGGTGGGTGTGAATGGTTTTATATTACAGACACACACAAATCAACAACTGTTTAACAAGGTAGATGCTCCATGACTGGGTCAGTGGGTGGGGGTGAGACTGATGACCCTGACTAGGTTGGCAGAGGGTGTGAGTGCAGGGCTGTGTGGTTGGTGAAGGGCTTCATGGTTGGTACAGGGCTCCGTGGTGGGTGCAGGGCTGCGTGGTTGGTGCAGGGCTCTGTGGTTGGTGCAGGACTGCGTGGTTGGTGCAGGGCTTCCTGGTTGGTGAAGGACTCCATGGTTGGTGCAGGGCTCCGTGGCTAGTGCAGGGCTCTGTGGTTGGTGCAGGGTTCTGTAGTCATCAGAGGCCAAGGCTCTTCCTTTTCCTGACTTGTAGATCAACCTAGTTTTCTTTGTTTAACAAGCTCTAACTGTCTTATTCCTACTGCAGAAAGCAGGAAGGAGGAGGGGGCAGAGGAGAGGTTTTCTCTATTTCTGTCACATTCAGGGATCTAAACTTGGATAGAGTGAAAACTACACCCTTTCCCCTCGTCAGTCTGGGTGAAAATTAGCATTTCCTTCAAATAGGAAAGTGCAACAAGCCCTGGAGCCCATAACAATGGTGGCAAAATGGGCGTGACTGTCACCCAGAGAAGTTACAGGCCCTCAGGATACCACTTCCTGGAAACAAAATAGTTGCCCAAGGTGATATAGAATCCTAAATATGCCATGTCCCCTGGGTCTTCACCTCTGGACCACTCTGCTTACACATGAGCGCTCTCCTTTGTCATTGGGTGTTTCATGTATTTTCTACCGTGAGGTTTCTGGAAGGAGGCCCATGTGCCCAACTGCAGGCTGTGCCCATGGTCCCTGTGAACAGAAGCTGCCGCCTCACTGTGAGCCCTCTCCCTGAGGTTTCCTACAGTCTCCTGCTCCTTGGCTCTCCCTGGCTGTAAAGGAGCAAACGCTAGTGTGAGCTTCACAGCTGTGCAGGGTGAGCAGATGCAGTGTGTGAGGACCAGCTGTCTCCTCCTCTTAGTGGGCAGGCAGGCTTCCTAAGACACTTCTCAGCCTCCCCACTACTCTCTTTGGTGTGGGGTATGGAGCAGGTGAATTAGGTTTCTCTGGAAGCAGTTTTTGGCACTGCCGTGATCCAGTCTCTGGGCCTCCCCATGTCATTTCCTGACAAAGCCACCAGCTTGGTATGTGCCTTTTCTGTGAGGACACTGCTCTTGATACCTCGGAGCTGTATACCCATAGCAGGAACTCAGCCTGCTTATTTTCATTCATACTGGTTTTTAGAAATTTATCACAGTAGTTGCTTGTCATCTTTGGCTTGAGACCTATCAGGAATTCCCAGCTAGACCTATCAGGAATTCCCAGTGGACCCACATTTGACCTTGGGTACTAGTGGTTATATGTGCTGTGGGGATAGCTGTGGGTGGTGGTAGGGTGCAGTGGACCCACATTTGACCCTGGGTGCTAGTGGTTATATGGGCTGTGGGGATAGCTGTGGGTGGTGGTAGGGTGCAGTGGACCCACATTTGACCCTGGGTGCTAGTGGTTATATGTGCTGTGGGGATAGCTGTGGCTGTGGTAGGGTGCAGTGGACCCACATTTGACCCTGGGTGTCTGGTAGTTATATGGGCTATGAGGACAGCTGTGGGTGGTGGTAGGGTGGGCTTGTGTTTTCTGGGTGGCTGTTCACATAGGGGGGCTTCTCTTTTTTACTCTGCTCTAGCAAGGTAAGTGTCAGTGTTCTCAGAAATGTGGGGGAACACTGCCACACCCTCGACCCCAACTCGGGCAGACTGCTGCTGCTCAGGTGCAGGTCACACCAGCCAGAAGAGCAGACCATTCCAGCTAGAAAAACAAGTACAGGCCACTCCAGCCAGAAGAACAGGAAGATGAACTCAGGCAGAGACTCCCTGCTGGACCAGAGACCACACTGGCCCCCAGAACTCCAGATAGGCAGCCCACCCTCAGACCTCTTCTACTCTCTCAGTGTCCCCAACCCCAGACACTATCTCTAATAATCCCTTCTCCCCTCCTCTTCACTGGGTCCCAGCCCCCATCTTGGGCAGAGACTTCCTGCTGGAACAGAACTCCTGGCTGCCAGAACTCCAGGCTACAAATACCAGAAGACCAAAGAGGAAACAGAAACCAAGGAACAAAACACCCATCTAACAAGGACAAACTCAGAAATCAAGACCTATAATCACCCCAAACCCAGATGCCTAGATGTCAGCATAAGAAGACAGTCAACAACAGCCAAGGCAATGTGTCACCACTAGAGACCAGCTATCCCATTACAACAACCCTGAATATTCCAACACAGCTGAAGCACAAGAAAATGACCTTAAAATCAACTTTATGAAGATGGTAGAGGTCCTGAAAAAGTAATTGAATAAATCCTTTAAAGAGATCCAGGATGGGCTGGAGAGATGGCTCAGCGGTTAAGAGCACTGACTGTTCTTCCAGAGGTCCTGAGTTCAATTCCCAGCAACCACATGGTGGCTCACAACCATCTGTAATGAGATCTGGTGCCCTCTTCTGGCCTGCAGGGATATGTGCAGACAGAACACTGTAAACATAATAAATAAATAAATCTTTTTAAAAAAAAGAGAGATCAGGAAAACACAAACCAACAATTGGAGAAAAGGAATAAATTACTCAAAGAAAGACAAGAAGTCAAGAAAAAACAAACAGTTGAAGGAAACTAACTGTTCAAGACCTGAACATGGAAATAGATGCCATAAAGAAAACACAGACGGAGGGAATTCAGGAAATGGAAATCTAGGTAAGTGAACAGGAACCACAGACCCAAGTATCACCAACAGAATACAAGAGGTGGAAGAGAGACACTCAGGCCTTGAAGACATGATAGAAAAAATGGATACATCAGTCAAAGAAAATGCTAAATCTAAGAAGTCCCTGACACAAAACATTCATGAAATCTGGAACACTATGAAAAGACCAAATCTAAGAATAACGGGAATAGAAGAAGAAGAATCCCAGCTCAAAGACCCAGAAAATATTTTCAACAAAATCATAGAAGAAAATTTTCCTAACCTAAAGAAGGAGATGCCTGTAAAGATACAAGAAGCTTACAGAACGCCAAATAGATTGGGATAGAAAAGAAAGTCCCCTTGCTACATAATAATTGAAACACTACTTTATATGTGAGTAACATATAAAGGTATTCAGACCCAGAAAGACAAACATGGTGTGTACTCACTCATAAGTGGATATTAGGAACAAAGTATAGGATAACCAGCCTATAATCCACAGCCCCAGAGAGGCTAGATACCAAGGAGGACCCAAAGAGGGATGCATGAATTTCCCTGGGAAGGGGAAATAGAAAAGATCTAGGTAAACTGGGGACGGTGGTGACAGGATGGGGGATGGGAACTTGAGGGAGCGGGTTGGGGGCACGACAGAGGGGGAGAGTATCAAAAGAGACATCTTGATTTCAGGGTTAGGGAAAAACCTGGTGCCAGGGAAACCCCCAGGAATCGACAAGGCCCCAGCTGAGATTCTTAGCAATAATGGAGATGATGCCTGAATTGGCCATCTACTATAATCAGATTGATGACTACTTTAATTGTTATCACAGAACTTTTATCCAGTAACTGATGGAAGCAGATGCAGAGATCCACAGCTAAGCACTGGGCCGAACTCTGGGAGTCCTCCTGAAGAAAGGGAAGATCATGATGGGGGAACCCACTTAGACAGCTGAACTGAGCTCATGGGAGCTCATGGACTCTGGACCAACAGTTAGGGAGCCTGCATGAGACTGAGGCTTGAGAAAAAGAGATCTCAAAGCCTCCCCCTACAGTGATACACTTCCTCCAACAAGGCCATATGTACTCCAGCAAAACCACATCTCACATTAGTGCCACTCCCTTTGGGGGCCATTTTCTTTCAATACCACTACAGTGGTATTTCAGTCCTTAACATCTATGCCCCAAATGCAAGGGCACCAACATTTGCAAAAGAAACATTACTGAAACTTAAATCACACCTCAACCCTCATACATTAATAGTAGGAGACTTCATTACCCTACTCTCACCAACTGACAGGTCATCTAGGCAGAAACTAAGCAGAGAAATGATGGAACTAACAGACGTTATGACTCAAATGTATCTAACAAATATCTACAGAATATTTCATCCAAACACAAGAGAATATACCTTCTTCTCAGCACCTCATGGAACATTCTCCAAAACTGACCACATAGTTGGATGCAAAGCAAGTCTCACTAGGTACAAGAAAATTGAAATAACCCCATACATTCTATCAGACCACCATGGATTAAAGCTGGATTTCAGTAACAACAGAAACAACAGAAAGCCTACAAACTCATGGAAACTGAACAACTCTCTAATGATGACTACCGGGTTAGGCAGGATTAAAAAAAAGAAATTAAAGACTTCCTAGAATTTAATGAAAATGAATGCACAATATACCCAAACATATGGAACACAGTGAAAGCAGTGCTAAGAGGAAAGTTCATAGCACCAAGTGGCTACATAAATAAATTGGAGAGATCTCATACTAGCAACTTAACAGTACACTTGAAAACTCTAGAACAAAAAGAACTTACCCAGGAGGAGTAGATGGCAGGAAATAAACTC